CAGCAAGCGAAGAATTCCTGTTCCGATGGCACCAGTAACTGTCTGATTGTATATCCGTTCTCGCCCTTTCCCTGAGTGTTGAGCGTCTGCCAGATCCCCTAGTAGTTCTTCATCGCGCCATTCTCATCAGACCGTAAAGATCCAGCTGGCCTTCGCACTCTTCTCTCGCTCCCAAAGGGCCCTCACAATATCTAGCAGAGCCGGCCAATCTGTCTGCTCACTTCCCAATACACTAGCATAACCTGGAGGAAATATTCAAAGGACGCTAACTACCCGAAACCTCTGAACTGATGCTTGCCACACTGCACGGAGCATGCCTGACTCCATCTTTCTCAACATGCTGTGTCAGTACAATCAAGGTATGTGTGTACAGCTGATTCTAAAATCAGTGGAAGACAATAATGACTGCCTCCACCCCCATTCTCAAACTAGACGTTTTGATATCATTTGCAAGGATTTGTTGCACCTAGCGGCGTCCATTTGCTTTTGATTTAAAATGTCATGCACTTCGTCTGCATCTCAACACGGAGTCATCTGTATACATAATCACATCACTTGGGCGGGAGTTTTCATGAATCATATGTTGAACTTCTGATTCTGCAGCACCAGCTGGCCAGTCCCTGCAATAACGACCTAAGGTGATTAGAACACTACACAAGTCTGAAACTTGCTCAGACACCTTGACCTACTCCTCTCCTCGCCCAAATTTATCAAGCCCGCACACACGTCCAATTGTGACTTCTGCTTGCGCCATCCAAGACCTTCCTCTTTTCAGTCTGTGACCCTTAGCTCTATCCAGGGCTTCATGCATGAGGTGCTTCCTGTCTGCAGCTACTCTGAGATATGACTTTGCTTGCAAACCTGTGAGCCTATCTGCAATAGTAGGCAGTGCAAGTATATAAATATATATCTCATAGATCTACCTGGGTATCTGTTGTACATCCCATAATTACACGCATGGCTTTTTTCAGAATGCGTTTAGGTTGAGAAATCACATTAAAGACATCCAATGGAGGACATCACAAGGAGGATATCCCATGGAGAACATCACATAGAGGACGACACAAAGAGGACATCAAGTCAATGACATCGCGTGGAGGACATCATTAGGATGATATCACCTGGTAGACATTACATGGAGGATATCGTACAGATGACACCACAAAGATAAAATCACATGGATTTCACACCATAAATGATATCACACGGAGAATATCGCATGCAGGACATTGCAGGAGAACATCACACAGATAATATTAGCTATAGGGGGTCATATGGAGGACACTAGATGAAAGATGCCGCATGGATATTATATGGGTGACAACACACAGCCGACATCCTAGGGAGACCACTAATGGTGGATATTACACTGGAAGATCATTTGAACAGGCTAAGTTCAGCATGCAGAAGATATAACGTGTAAATAGATACTACTGAAAGTGAAATAATGCAAGTCAGCAGAATTCCTAGTACGCTACACATCAGGTTCAATGTTACTTGTCTGCAGCAAGATAAAGAATTTAAATATCTTTGAAGTATATTCTCGGAGGACAGGAGAACAGATCGTGAAACAGAAGCAAGACCCAACAAGCCAGTGAGTATATACACCAAATAACAACGTTATTAGGACATCCAAACATAAATATGAGTGCCAAGAAACAGATTATAAACAGCACACTCATACCAACACTGTGCTACCAATGCCATACTTGGACATTATCAAAGGCTAAACAACGTCGAATTAACAACTGTAAAATGAGATGCCAGAGAAAATCCGCTAACTTAACCAACCACGATAAAGTTAGAGAGGATATTATCAGAAACGGTAGGAGGAACACGATCATGCAGCAAATGCGTTGAGAAGCAAAAGATCAAACGGCTTGTCATCTAGTAGGAATGCAGCCATAACAACCACCAAACGCAGGCGTTACACATGAACAGATCTGAAGTGAAAGCAAGAGGCCGCCCTAGGAAAAGAGAAAATGCTGCATTAAAGAGCGACTACACCGATATGAGATGACTATGGTCATTGCAGCCATTTAAACTATGGATCGCAAAATGTCTCTCCCTACAACGCCTAACGACATAAATTGAAATTGCTGACTATGGTCACTATCATAGTGAGGAAATAAGACGAAGGACAGACAGTATGGATGACTTTACAATTAGGACTGTATAGGGAAAATTCGCAGGAAGGTTACCACACAGAGGATACGAGATATAAGACAGCCTGAGAGAAATCACATGGAAGACATCACGTGGAAGACATAAAAAAGGAGAACATCGCAAGGGAGAAACCACGTGGAATGCATAACATAGTAAACGCAGCACAGGAGACAGGTCATGGTCAACACAGCAGAATACAAGAGAAAGAATATGGTCACCTGACACGAAGATTGGGAAAAGGGGGAGGCAGCCGTGTCGGACTCGCAACCAATTATTTGTCCGTTTAGCACTACAGAACTACTGGCTTTGGCATCAAGCTCTTCTATACTACGTATGATGGTAATGCACATATTGTATCTTATAAAGAAGGAATTATGACGGACGCACTAGAAAAACATCAAGGAACTGTTAGTATAGGAAGTCAAATATGTACAAACAAATGACATTGGCGGGTTGGCCTCGGAAGAGCAAGAGCTATTTAAGTAGCAAACGTACTTGATGAAACATCGACCAAGTATGGCATGCATATAAATGCACATAAGACCAAAATAATGACTGTGATCCAGATAGTATAATTACAGCTATTTACATTGAACGTCACAAATAGAACGCGTCTTCGTTTTAAATATTTACGGTACATTTTAAGTGACCTAAGGTCCAGACCAAAAATCATGTCAATGGTTGCCCAGACAACATCAGTCCCTGCCAAATAGCAAATATTGTTTAGATCCAGTAACAAAACTAACTGTAAAACTAAGCTACAACTGCATACCAAGAAAAAATCTGGTGACGGAACCTGACTGGACAGGCTTTGTGTGTGTGTGTGTGTGTGTATATGTGCGCGCGCGCGTGCGTGCGTGTTTTTGTGTGTGTGTGTGACAGAGGCAGGGATGCGAATCTACTTCTAGAAAACAATCACATTAATTTATCAACAATTTTACAGCAAAGCTTGTCTTAACTAGCCGTAGACAAATACAAGCTAACAGCTGTACATTCTGGCATCCAGGCACCGGCTGTAGAAATAAACGGCTTTGTGTGTGTGGACATTGCGGATCGAAACGTCAAACAAAATTACGTCAATTTATGACGTTTTGGGAATAATTGTTGAGGCTGCAGTGATGGGCGCTGTATTATTAGATAGGAGACAGGGCTACTCAAATCATTGTGCTGGTATACACAACTGGCCTGTAATACGTTGACGCCATGGGGTGTAAACATCCAATTTTAAATCAACTCCAGCTATCAACCGGATTACTGGTTACAGGAGCAGAAATAAGGGACCAGCGTGCCTGTGACGGACTGGGTAAAGGGGACAAGTTGCAACTAAAATCTAATGGGTTATGGTAACTGGAGTACGCGCGACATAATGTTGGAAATCCTATCCTAGATCCACGTAGCTAATAATTTAGAGTGCTCATTTAAAAAACGAGGGCTTCTATGGCGAAATGGTTTGGTCATTTATCTCATTCTCTGTAGGTTCCGGGTTAGATTTTGGACACAGTTCTTCGGTTGCATGTGTTGGGGAGATGTCTGGGGGTCATCGCTCGTACTATCGTGCTTTGTGCGATATTCGATTGGGGTGGGGGGGGGGGGGAGGTAGGGAAAAGTCGTAATCAGAGATAAATACTAGCATATGGAATCATCCCCAGCCCGATAGAATCGATCTTCTCATCTTCAAACATTTTTTTAATTAGATAATTTTCTGCAGCCTTCAACTGCTTCTAACTTGATGGTTAACGACAAATTTTCTGCTATATTCTGCTTCTTCTACAGTCTATAAATTCTACCCCTCCCCAGTTTTTCCCTCTTTTAACCCGACTGAGACACTCATTCTGAACTAATTCAGTCTTCTAATCCAATTCTGTATCATCATAGCTTGTTCACTATTATTGTAAGTACCTTTCCGTATTCCTAAATGATGGTGTTACACTCTGATATGTCGAGGCGTGGGAATCATGGTACATTAAGATTGCATGCGAGACTAACAACACCCTTCAAGAGTAATCTTCTACAAATAAAACATGGAATTTCAGGACTTGCTTGGTTGTTGCCATCGCAGCTGTCTAGCCTGCATTTTCCCCAGACTCTCAGCTCGCAAGATATCGGCAATATTGTGTATCTGTTTTCTTTTACCATTCTTGATTTTCTCACTTCATCGCATCATATTGCCACGAACCCACCTCAGTAACTGTATCACTGATATCACACTACATGTCCTACATGCTTGTTGCAATCTTTTTCCCTCTTGTTTTCTTGGTCTTTCTTTGATGACCGGAAGGAGATTGTCATTAGAGGTAAGAAAAAGAATTCTCTCAGGCTGGCTATATAGAGCTAGTTTTAACATATGGCTGTCAATCCTAGACAATTATTAAATAAGCCAAACAATCTTGAGGACTTACAGATATGTTTTCACAGAAGAATTCTGAGAATTCCTTAGACAGCTAAAAAGAGCAACCCAGATGTTGTGAAAGAAGTGAGCGTTTGAAGACTTTTCAATAACACGAGAAAGAAACATCATCATTTGTTGGCCATATTTTGAGGAGAAGGAAAGTAGACCATGTTGTGACCACTGGAGAGATCTATGGAAAGAGAAGCAGAGGAATTCAATGCGAAACGATTCTTGAGATCCTTCTGTCTTAGTATGGAAGAGTGGCAACACACGAGCTAAAAGATATTGTTGAAGGTCGTATACTGTATTCTTGATCGCCCACGGCAGTCAACAAGGCACTTGATGATGGTGAGTAGCTGTGTTTTTCTCTTTTCTCTGTTTTGCTATTGCATGTGAGTGCTCATATAGACAAGTGTAGCTTTGTTGCTGGTGCTATCTTCAACAGTTTGGGAGAGTTTTAATCAGCCGAAATCTCACAGCCTTGTTGGATGCTGAGAACATTACTGTTTACCTGCCCAGCTCAGACGCTTTCTTCAAATATGAATCTCAGCTGACGGAGCCAGTCAATTGGATAACGTTTCTAACTTATACTACCCGTAAGTACGTGTTCTTTATCTTTATTGGGTTGTTGAACATATTTCATATATGTATACTTATAGGTTTAAAACAGTTAAACTTCAATGTATTTAGAGGAAAGTCTGGATACATCTTTTTCATCTGTCATAGTCAAGAAGATTATTTCGCTTTCACATTGCTCGCGAATCCTTTATGCTTTCTAAGAAAGAAAAAACACAGCAGGAAAATTATATTCTGGTCGGATCAAAGATGCTTTTTGTAGAGCAAAATAACAGTATAAAGACAAATGCTGAATGTTAAATTAAGAGTCGACATCACAGCACTCGGGACACTCCCATAAGTGCTAGGTCCCCATCTTCAGCAGCAAGCGAAGAGTTCCCATTCTGATGGCACCAGCAATCGTCTGATTGTATTTCCGTCTCATCATGCCCCTAAGTGCAGAGCGTCGGCCAAATCCCCCGTTCACTCGTTCCCAAAGGGCCCTCACAATACCTAACTTGCCATTCATCAATTCACTACCAATTGCTGAACAGCCTTCTTGTCTATCTGTCTGTTCATTTCCCAACACACTGGCATGACCTGAAAAAAACATCTAAACAAAGTACTATATAAAACAACAATTCACGATGTACTGAATGTCGACGAAAATAGAATATCAAAGAACTGATCAAACAAAATACAGTACAATTTATAGTAAGATCAATTGAAACTACAGTCCAGTCAGCTTCAAACTACCAAACTATTTTAATTCCTCTGACCTTAAATCGATCATACCACGACCGGCTCCCGTTGACGGATCGTGCTGCTGACGTCACCGGGTGGGGCTAACGATGTGTTATCGCAGCGGTTCTCAAACAAGAAATAAGCTATTTTCAAAAGTGCCAGCAAAGACAACTTACATTTTTACTTTTAGGTATCTACATGCCTTCTTTAATATTTTAACAATTTGTAACCGACTTTTCTTAATTATTGCCGCGGCACCCATGGCATACGCTCAGGGCACCCAAGGATACCTCAGCACCTAGTTTGAGAACCATTTCATTAACGCACCGTTAACCAGACGCGATGACTTCAGCAGCACGTCCCGTCATCTAGAGCCTGTCGTAGTCATACCTTCTACCATGACTAACCCGGAAATAAGTCACACTGGCGTTTATGAGAGTTGCGACCCGGCGTATGAATGCCGAAACAAATCAACGCTTTTTTAGTCAGTCAGGTTTAGGAATATAATTCCACGATCCACCAACATTATCTTTGCAACAACAAAAAAAATGGTTGAAAGAAAAGGTAATCATGTATTGTCAAGAAATTTGGACGATGCAATAATGAATATAAGATGATATCTGTCAAATAAATGTAGGAAAGGTAGGCTAGCATCCCTTGTCTGATGCCTAACTGGTATGAAAGGAGTTCTGGATTTGGCTGTTTAGGGACTTACTCCAGCCGGATTTTCCCTACAGTTTAAGACCTCGAGCGGTCATCTCAGCTGATATCTCAAAGGTATGCTGGTCCAACACTCAACAGCAGAGAAAAATAATCGCTAACAAGATCTGTGAGTTACATAAAATTACAACTTATGCATGCCCAATGAAATTCCCGGGTGAAGTGGAGACTTTCACGACATCAAGATGCTAGAACGTAGCTCGAAGCCGTCCACTACCTCTCAAAGCTGTGACAAGAATGAGACGGTCAGATGAAGTTCTCATGACCCCAGAAGCGGCAACATATTCTTCCGCCAAAGTGGCGGTAGTTCGGCTGATGGAAAAAGGCCTCGCTACGCTTAGAAATCACTTACCTGTGAGTGAATTCATAACAAAACTCACTCCCAAAAGATTTAGAAACCAAGTTATTAGTTATCCCAACATCTTACACACAAGAATAAAAGAAGGACTAAAGTCAAAATTTGAAAATCTATCATTTACATAGAGGTTTACAAGATGTGCGCAAGTCTAAGGTGTTGGGCGGTCATGCGACAGAGGGCCAGCTCGTCTATAAAAGTAGAAGTCTAGCATCCCTTGCCTGCTGCATCACTGGCATGAAAGGAGTCCTGGATTTGGCTGTTTAGCTAAGAAGAAAAAAAAAAGTACAACTGGCAGAGAGAGTCGGGTGGGTCAATATGATAACGCCCACTCTGTCCTGGGTCTGCACAAATTATGTAAATCAACAGTCTTCGTGGAGATGATTATGCTGTGTGTCCAGTAAAGAAAAATCACTCAACAGTTTCACGCAGTCTCAAAAAATCCATGGAGACAGTAGAGAGGTGGACATTGAAGTTAGGTGTTAATTTGTAAAGCAATATGTTTTTCGCGCCACCATTTACTATTTTATGATGTAGGACAAAGAGAGATCGTGAGCATGCGGATTCATGGCTAGTGCAGTCGCAACGAGCTGTGTAGATCTTAAGTCTCCCCCCCCCCCCTTATTTAGGATCGCACCCGGGTATCCCGCATAAAAGCACAGTGCTCTAATCATTCCGCCAGCCCCTTCTCTAAAGCATATTATTATCTTTCTCCCCAAACAAACACACAATATGGCTTACAGAAAGACAGCCAGACATGTTAAGCATCGTGACCCTCGACACAAGAACACCGTAACCCAGCAAGCGAATTGCAGAAGTTGGAAAAAATGTCCAAGTGGCAAGCTTCTACATACTGTGGGAATCTTCAACCAGGAAACTCAATCAGCCACGCGCAAGCATTCAGAACAGAAATTAATCAGCCGGCTAGATAAAGACTGGCTCTTCACTTAGAAGAATTATGGCGAGATGTGAGATAAAAAGTAGATGCAGCTTTTCACAAGCCAGAGGATATCAACAACAAAAATAATGCGGAGAACAAAAGCAAAAAAAAAAAAAAAAAACTAAGATGGAAAAAGAGAAGGCATATTAAGAATATAGGCGTCGGTGACTAAGAAGAAACATGGGCAAGGAACATTTCATATCATCATAGCACTTGGCATGAAAAGGGATGCAGGGCTTGAAATCAAACAGTTGAAATTGGGAAGGATGTTCAGGAGACCAGAATGGTGAGCCCTTTGAGACCCTTTAGCTTCCCCAGGAAAACAGTAGAGACAGGCCAAGAAATCCCTTGCTGAGAAGATGTGTAACTGGGCTAAGCGTCCACTTCCTGCAGTTCATTTATAAGTTCTCATTTGTGAAATTTATTTACTATTCTGCCAAAAAATTACTAGTATTATTTTACGCACTTAAACAAGACAGTCTCCTCCTCCCCCCCCCCCTGCCATTTAGATACATAGATGCAGTCGTGTTTACTGGATCAAATGGTATCAAACCCTCAAGATTAACACACACACACGTTTTCATCATTAGGCTTTTGGTTTCTTATGCACAAGCAGTATAATTTGCTTGTTTATGCCTTGTGCATGCCTGATGCATCTAATAAAACGGGTTGCTGGTCTTGTCGGGAGTATTGTCTGTTCCATTTTTCACGAAGGACAGTGACTACCATTGTGTGTGGTATTGGGGCGGCACTTTTCTGTGACGCTGAAGCGCGACTAACCACTATTTTTGTTTTCCAATCCACACCCACCTTCAGCTTGTCTAGCCTGTCTGCTTGCTCATGTCTAAGTAAATTGCAGCTACTAAATTCCACTATATTTATGCTTGCCCGTATGTTGGCCTTTAATTTTGCAGCTGTCAGGACATCTACTTTATTGTCTTTGCTGTCGATGAATTTCCCAGGGAAAACATAAATTACCACAGCGTCTCTGATGTCTGTATGTTGTTGTGTTTGTTTATATTATTTTTGTCAGGTGTGATAATCCTCTACTTGTCGTAAGAGGATATGCTTTTGCTTGTTAAGAATGTCGTGTTTGTTTGAGCACAGTGGTGCTGTGGTATAAAGCATATTTTTAGTGCGAAATTGTTTCTGTCACCAAAGTTGATTACATATTGTCATGATGTTTTGAGGTTTGTTTGTTTAGAGATAAGAGTTAAAAATATTTGGAAGGTTATGAGCCATCAGTATAAATCCTCAATTCATGATGTTCTCCGAGTTACTAGAGACATTGCCCAAGTATCATGGCTCAAGGAGCCTAAGATTTTTTTTTTTTTTTTTCATTATAATAGTATTGCTTGTTTGTCATCAGTATTTTTTTGATCTGCGAGAAGCAGAACCTTTTAACTCCATCGACACCCGCAGAGGTAAAAGAGGAGGTGAAAAAGCATACGTGAGTGGAGGGTGTCTTCTTTGGTTGGCTATGACGTTTGCGTCGAGAGGTGAAAGGCCGAGGACTTCTTCCGAATGAAAAGTACGTGGGGATCGTCACTGGGGCTACAGAGTGTTTTGTGCGTCGCCTTCGTCAGAGCGGCTAGCTGATCTACTCAGAAAGATTAAAACATCATGGTATAACGGTTTTAAAAATCTCAATGATGAAGCTGTTTCTTATAGATAATAACGACGCTGGTATTGTCGGTCTATCATAAAGATGTCACGAATGTTTGTGGCTTCGTGGCAGTAACAAATGTAAATCAGATGGTTCTAGATGCATTTATCTTACCTTAGGAAATTCCTCGCATAGAAAAACTACCTACTACAGCAGGGTCGTCGACACAAAGAAAACAATTAGGCATCTCTTTAGGGCCTTAGTTCCTTTACAAATTATCAAGTCCTCAAGGTGCCTTAGCCTTTTTAATCAGCGTAGTAATAATAATAATAATAATAATAATAATAATAATTTGAGAAAAGTTAATTATTAAAACAATATATTCCAATCAATAAGAGATGTACACTACTTAAAAATTGAACTTCTAAAAGTGCTTATGAAGCGGCAAAGCCCCCTTACAAATTCTATAAAGGATGGGACCTCAGCGCCCGCCCAGATAATTGTTCAGGGTTTGGATAAGGGTTAGTAAGACTAAACGCCAAAATCTCTGTCCCGAACACAACAGGTGCCTTTTTTTTAGCATTGTATATAACTAAATCAAACAAATCGGACACTATTGTGCGACAACTGGGAAAACTAAGAGGCACGTCCTTTCTGTGCCCTTTTGGGTTACATT